GTAGCCACAGGTTAAACAGGTGTAGAGAAAAATGATGTAATGTCCAACCACCGGTTGAACGGTGGTAGAGAAAAAATGACGTAATGCCAGCCACCGGTTGAACGATGGGTAAATACTTGCGCCGTGTTTTGTTATTGGTTGTTCTATTTTTATATCTACCGTGAAACATTACAAACCAATTATTTGCGAATTTTGACTCAGGTGCTCGGGAACGCAGGACTCAAATGTTTAACAAAGGACGGAAAATGTGACACAGAAATCCGAAGACATAGTAGGATAGTGAAAGATACCTTTAAAAAATTAAGCAGAGTATTAAGAAATGAGAAAAACTTCGCTAGAAACATGGAAAAGTGAAAAAATGCTACGTAATATTTGTCCTACTGTATGGCAGCAAATATTGGATAATCTCCTCTGAGATGAAGACGAAACGTGAAGCGACAGAAATGTGGTTCTACAGAAGGATGTTGAGGATACTATGGACCGAAGAAGTGAACAATAATAAAGTTTTAGAGAAAATGAAAAAAAAGGAAGCATAGACTTAACATCAGGAAGAGACAATTGAGGTTTCTAGGAAACATAATGAGGAAAGAGGGCTTGGGAAATCTGATACTCACAGGACAGATTGAAGACAAGAGGGATAAAGGACAATAGCGAATGACATAGTGAGCTTGAGTAAATGGGTGACGGAACAGGCTTTAAGAGAAATAACAGAAAGAGAAATTTATTAAGAGCCACAAGGGATAGGAAGTTGTGGAGAGCCATTATCGTCTATGTACTGAGGCACATGAAGAAGAATGTAGTAAACATTTTGATATCCTTTATTGGAAACCGAAGATTACATTATTAAACTAAAACTAAATTAATTAAACTAAAACGCATGATCTTTCCTCGCGGTTACCTTTCAATGCGGTAAACTTTTATCGCGGTGAATTGATGGCTGGGAACTTACCGGACACTTGCCTTCTTATAATTGATAATTAGTCCTTTCTTCTGGCTTTCATTATTTACCTTCTCTAAGCGTTCCTACGGTTTTCTTTCAGTGTTTGCCTTAATCACTGTGTCATCTGAGCATCTTGGTATAATTGTGCACATCAATAATAAATCCCGGTAGAACTTCTAGTTCTCCTATAGAATTACGCGCCAGCCAATCGAAGGATTTGGAATGAAATGTCTCGGCAGACAGTGTCACGTTATTTAAGTGAAGTAGGGCTTCATGCACCCTCTTTTGCTTTCAACCCGCTCATCCGTAAAAAAAAAAAAATAAATAAAAAACAATGAAACTCGACTAGGCTTACAAATATATATATATATATATATATATATATATATATATATATATATATATATATATATATGTGTGTGTGTGTGTGTGTGTGTGTGTGTGTGTGTGTGTGTGTGTGTGTGTATGCGTCCTTATTATTTATTTTAAGATATTAAAACATGGTAAAAATCGCCACACAATTACAATTATGTTTCAACACCATAAATATGTCTCTTCAGACGATGTTAAGCTGCTGGTGAGTGAAAGATTAATTTAATTTCAAAAGCAGAATACTTTTTAAAAATAGGTTTGTGAGCTTTCACGTGATTAACCAATCGAATGTGTTCTAAGTTAAATTCAAATTCACCGGAAAAAAATACTTTTTAATATGGGTCATGACACGAACTTGTTTGCATATAAAACCTCGACAATTTCCTCATGGGTAGATACAGATTCTTACATTATTTCGTAAGATGTATCGAACTCCGACGTTAAAAGTTCCCAAGAAGCAAAAGCGAAAAAAATGGGGTGGGGGGTAATTCTATTTTATTTTCATAATCTAAACGATTTCATTCAGAGTCTTTTTCTTTTCGCTTTCATCATTTTTGTTAATAGATATCCTACTCTGATAAAAGAAAATCTGCCAGCAATAATGAAATGTTGTACGAGCCCGAGTGCAAATTTTCTGTGGACAACATCGCGATCAACGCACTCTCTAGACATTTTCGTCATAGTGAACTGTTTTCTCCTTTGATCAGAGTATACTAACATTTAATGCTGAGGGTTCTTGATTGGGCCTTCGTCACAATTGATAGGGAGGACTAGATGCGATATGCAATAATAAATTACAGAAGAACTCAAAATTGATCGCTGCATTTAAGTATTATATTAATATTTAATCATACCTTTTAAAAGTTCAACGATAATTATTCTGTTGCCACTTAATTTAAAGACAATTTGATGTACGTAGGTATTTACTTTCCGTACGAATAATTTTTTTTATTTCATAGGTGACTTTCGTTGGATTTCACAATTAATTTCGATTATTCTCGAATTTATTTCCAAGTTATAAAAATTGTTATCGTACAAAAAAATTCGTCGCAAAAAATTACGTAAAAAATCGCCGAAAACAATCGCAGTAATGGAAAATTTGGAATTCAAAATTTCAGGTTGGCGGGTCTGGATCCGACCTGGAATGTTTTTACTTTGTTCACAGGGTCAGCCTGATTCCAAAATGATATAATATTTTAGGCTATGGCCTGTAGGAGTAAATTGAAAAAGTGTGACATTGCGAGACACCGCCATTCGCATTTATTATTATTATTATTATTATTATTATTATTATTATATATATATATATATATATATATATATATATATATATGATTACTTATGTATATATATATATATAAGTAATCATTGAATAAGCAATCATTACATATTTTTCTTTTTTAAAAAAAGTTTCAACTTAAAAACTTAGCATTGCAGCCAAATATTCTAAAATGTTGTCAATAACAAAGAAGAAAATAAAAAAATACCTTCCAACAAGTCGAATATAGCATCAAAATTATATTATTTTTATTTATTTGTTATATAACTAAATACATAATTGTCAACAATATTTCCGAAAAACTTTATATTTTCTAAAATAAATTCTTAATAAATATTATCATTGTTATTATTTTACTTAAGTGTAAGATAGTCCGATATTTACAACTCCTTACGGCTAACCATGAAAAGAAATGTTGATCAAAACTGCCTAAAACCGTTAAGTGTGTATTGCCGTAAATTTATCAAATGTTGAATAAGCCTCTCCTCAGCCAAAGCCGTCATATACAGACATTGCTTGGGCACCTCGGCGTGGTGTAATAGTTAGAAAGCTTGTCTTGCTAGATCAATTACGACTGAGTAGTGAGTTCGATCCTCACTGGGTGCCCCATGCTTTCGGCCTTGTGCCACATCTAAGCCGGGCTTAGAAAATCACTATACAATCATGGCTCGAGATACGAGTTTAATTCGTTCCATGACCGAGCTCGTATCTCAAATCAATTTTCCCCAGTGAGTTAATGGGAATATTTCCGATTCGTTCCAGACCCTTAAAAATCAACATAATTTTCCTAAAACTCACTCCTATTTTTGCATTTGTGGATTTCTTACAAGCAGAAACGTGTGAATAAACAAGAAATGTAGTTTACAGACAATAAAATAAGAGACAAAAAACGAATTGTAAAAAAAATAAACTTTACTAAACCATGAAGTTCACACAGGTCATAGGTCAACTGGTGGAGGAGATAGAAAAGAGACAACAACAGCTAGCCTAGCAACTGCTAACCTAGCCTAGCAACGGATAGCCAAGTCTACGATACCGATTTAATTTTTTTAAACATTTACATTTTATCCATTACTATAACTAATTTTTTAACATTGTTTTAATTTTATAATTTTATTTATCGTCGATGTAGAACGCTTATAATGTCTCAAATGCATTACTCACTCGACTTTCACATGTTTTTTTTTTTTGTTTTTTTTTAATATAATTTCGCACTTAACCTCAAGCGAGATCATACGTTTCGGTTTTTCACCATTGGTCTTTACACTTCCTCTCTACGGACCCATGGTGTTACTAAAGGAATTTTGCAAAATATCGGCAAAAAAGGTGCAACACATAACAGATATTTCCAAGGATAGGTGAACGTGTGTACTGAGAGTGGAAATACAACTGAAGCTGGGCGTTCGCAGCACCAACTAAAACGGAAACACGCTCGTATCTCAAACTTCAGCTCGTATCTCAAGTCAAATATTGACCGAACTCCGGCTCGTATGTCAAAAGCTCGTATGTCGGTACGCTTGTATTTCAAGGCATAACTATATATAACATTAAGACACTATTCCATGTTGGAGAAATGAAGACCGTAACATCGACCATTTCCCATAAAAATATTGGCTATTTATCCAATTATTGGAGATGTAGAAATCGTACGAGGAACTCGGTGAAGCAAACATTTCTGTTTCTGGAGGTTAAAACAAAATGCACCTAAGTAAGAAAAGCGTTATTTTTGTTCAGTCAATGACAGAATTAAAAGAAGAACAAAAATGAACAAAAATAAACAAGTCAAAGTTGGCATACTTGTATCCATTTTATTACAAGTGATTTATTTATTGTTTTAGATGGATGAGTGTCAATAACAGCAAATGATTAATATCAAAGATAGTCTATTAATATCCGGTCTTTATAGCTAAAACTGTTCAAATCTATCCATCTATTTCTATCTTTCTGTACACATATGATAACAATAACATTAATACTAAATACTACTACTACTAATAATAATGATGGTACGACTGAGCATTTAACTTGTTTTTCAGTCTAACAGAATAAAAGCCAAAAAAGATCTCAATAGAGAATGAGAATTATCAGTCAGTTATGTGACATGCGTAATACACACATAGGCGATCATGTATCTTTCGATGCATGACTGACGAAGCAGATGTTTTCCCACATTTCTTTCTGCGGTAGACCAGTTGCCATCAAAGCCTACAGAACTACCTATTTACCCATTGCTGGGAGAAGAACAGGATTCATACCTTTCCCAAGAGTATTAGCACGTAAGTAAATGTAATCGACTGGAATTCGAACTCGGCTGTCCGATTCCTCAATCCGAGCCGCTATCCATTACTCCACCGTAGTATTCAATAAATAAGAAAGGTTCAAGTGTCTTATCTGGTTAGCCGACTCAAGAGTTTCGTATCGAAACGCTTATCTATCTATCTATCTATCTATCTATCTATCTATCTATCTATCTATCTATCTATTGTTAGCTGTCTCTATTTATATAAAATTGTAACAAGTCCTATCTCCGTAACCGGGTCTGTGTGGTGTTCATACCAATTTCTTTCATTTTCCAATAATAATAATAATAATAATAATAATAATAATAATAATAATAATAAAAACGTTCATCTTTTCATATCTCTGTCTATGTTTATATAAAAATAATAATAATAATAATAACAATAATAATAAAAACAGTCATCTATTCATATTTATATATTTATCCATCTATGCTTAGCTGTCTATATTTATATAATAATAATAAAAGAATACAAATACTAATACTGCTACTACTACTACTACTAATAAAACGTTCATCTTCATATCTATCAATTTATATATGTATGGTTAGCTGTCTATATTTATATAATAATAATAATAATAATAATAATAATAATAATAAATACGACAATGTATTGAAAGGCCTCCTCAATATTGCAAAATGTTTCAGTGACAACATAGGTATAGTAACATTCAAGAAAGGGAGAATTGCAGAAACACTCTCAACAGATTTAGACTTTGTCATAAAGATTAGGGAACTGGAACAAGATGAAGCCTATAAGTACCTAGGAATTAGCGAAAGAGATGGTGTATAACATACACAAATGAAGGAGAAGGTAAGAAAGAAGTACAATAGGCGTATGCGTCTAGTACTGAATACCGAGGTGAATTCAAAAAACAGAATATGAGCCATAAACACCTTGACTGTCACTGTGGTGCAATACAGCTTTAACAACTTTTAAGTGGACCATAGCGAATGGACATCAAAAGGAGAAAGCTTCTCATTTGCTACCGTATGCATCATCCCAAAGCTGATTTTGATCGTCTGTTATATGCCCAGACCTGAAGCAGGTAGAGGATTAGTTCAACTAAAACTGTCCTACAAAACTACAAAAATTGTTCTTCAAAGATACCTGAAAACTACAGAAGATTGGATGATAATATGTGTCAAAGAACATGAAAGTAGTAAGCGTCTTTATTCCTTAATACAGGTAGCCAACAAGTTCAAAATGAAGTTTCAAAATGATGTAGAAATACCAGGAAAGCACAATACACCAACTGAAGCTGCAAAATACTTAAATAAATAAGGCAAAAGCGAATGTAACCGGCTATATACAGAAACAATGGCAAAATAAACCGCTTCATGCCCAATACATGTCTATACCAAACAAGCTAATGTAGACAAACCCCATAACCATCAGTGGCTACATAGTGCAGCGTTAAAAGCTGAAACTTAAGGTTTTATCCTTTTTGCACAGGACCAATGCTTATAAACTAGAAATTATCACGCTCAAATACTAATATATTGTATTAGCCCAAGATGCAGCTTCTGTGATAAATATTCAGAAACAATTGATCATCTTGTATCAGGTTGCACGGTATTGACACCCACTTAATATAAAACCCCACATGACAGAGTGGGCCAATATCAGCACTGGAAAATCTACAACTTCTACAAGAAAATGATGGAAATTGGTATGAACACAAACCAGACCCAGTTACGGAGATAGGACCTGTTATAATTTTATGGGACTACACAATACCTACAGACAGAACAATCAAAACTAACATCCCAGACATTGTTATTACAGACCTCAAACAAAAAAGTGCCTTCTTATTGATATGGCAGTCCCTGTAGACTGCAATATATCCTTAAAGACCTTCAAAAAGCTATCAAAATACAAGGATTTTGAAATCGAAATCTCAAAAATGTAGTACATGGAAACATCAACAATTCCTGGTGTAGTTGGAGCCCTCGGATTGGTCAGAAAATATTCTAGTAGACTAATTGAAGGGATTCCTGGAAGACCATGCCTTCAAGAAATATAAAAATTGTTCCCACGAATACAGCTCACTCCTTACGAAAGGCTTTATCTATGCAATATATATATATATATATATATATATATATATATATATATATATATTATTTGAAAATCATTGATGACGTGTGGCAAAATATCAAACAGATTTATGTCACAAAATAGAAACCAGAATAATTCAGTGATCTCTAGAAACAGACTAGATGAAAACCAAAGAATAGGTTTGTTGAAAACTCGAGAGGCAGCTAAGAGCCCGGAAAGACGGCAGCTTGGGAAAATTGGATTGACCCCACCCTACTTGCATCTTCCGCTAAGAAGAAACCGTTGTTAGCTACAAGTTCTTCAGGAAATAGATATCCCCAGGGGATCCCGAGTGATGACACGAGGGGGGGGGGGGAGAAAGAAGAGTGAGATTATCAATAGGTCAGTCGAAGGGGTCTCGATCAAGTGTAATAACTGGATTACGACCGTGAAATGCATTTTTGGGAAGGAATGCAGGGAATCCGCCAGACCAGAAATATATATATATATATATATATATATATATATATATATATATATATAGAGAGAGAGAGAGAGAGAGAGAGAGAGAGACATACACAACGCGTAGGTATTTGCACTGGTCAGGCGAAGGAGGAACATGACAAAAAGAGACACACCATGTGCCGGTCACTCGAAAAACCGGACAGGGTAACCAGAAAGCGGATTAAATGGCCGACTACGCACCAGAAGAATGAATAGCAACGGTTCGATCGGGATTTAATCGATATTTTACGAACGATATTGAAAGGGGACGCAGGCAGCAGATTACAAACAATGGCGTCTATCATCATTAGTTACGCGTCAGAAAGATTCGGTTATGTCCACAAGGAACACAAGAAAAATCCCAGAAATAACCGTTGGGAAAGGAAAACTGAGCAGCAGCAGAAACTCGAGCTTAGATCCCTAAGGTAACAATCTCAAAAAGCAAATGAGGTGGAAAAAAACACCTCTTTCGGAACTCCGAGACCCATTAAGGAATGAACTTAAATCTCTTCGTAGAGCAGAAAATCCCAGAAAGCGTGCGAAAGAGAAGTCTGGGAAAAGATCAGCCTTTATTTCAAACCGATTTGGCTTTGCGAAGAGATTACTTGGAGATAAAAGAAATGGTAATCTTGAGTGTACAGACGAAGAAATAAATTCTTCATTACAAAAGACACCTCGTCATCAAGATAGATAAAAGAATCTAGGAGAAAATAATGCAATAATGCATTCTGCACTACCGGAATCAATTTTCGACTTCAGGGTACCGACCTTGAAAGAATTAAAGGAGATCACATTGGCATCTAGATCAGCTTCGGTCCCAGGACCCAGTGATCGACCCTGTAGTGTCTATAAGCGAGGTTGGAATATTCAGATACACCTCTGAAAGATATTAAGAACAATTTGGGGGAGAGGTAGAATTGCAAGGCAGTAGAGATTCGCCAATGCAGTATGGATCACTAAAAAGAAAACTCTAAAGAAATTGAAAAGTTCAGAACGATTTCTATGCTACACACAGAAACCAAAACCTTCTTCAGCATCCCGTCCCAACGTTCTTTGGAATTATCTAGTTGTCAACAATTATATAGATACTACAGTACATAAGGGTAAGATTTCAGGAATCCCATGTTGCCTGGGTATATGGACATGATAACGTAGCTTCTAAGAGAAGCTAAAGAAGGAAATGGTAATCTTGTCGTAGTGTGGCTGCACCTCGCTAATGCATATGGATCCGTTCCATACCAAAGTAGTCGAGGAAGCTCTTAGAAGATACCATGTTTCTGTTTATGCAAGGAATTTTGTACAAGATTATTACAATGATTTCAGCATAAAAACAACTTCCGATTTTATATCTTCTGATTAGTATCCGCTAGAGGCGGGAATTATCATTAGATGTACAATCTCAGTGATATTATTTACCGCAATCATTGTTGGTAAAATCAGCAAAAGTTGAGTGTCGAGATTGAGAAACGGAGTATGGCAACCTCCGATCAGTGCACATATGGATGACCTGAGAGTTGCTATATCGACTGTCACTGGATGCCGATGGATATTACTGGGTTTAGAAAAGATAATGGCTTGTGCAAGAATGCAGTTTAGATCGACAAAGTCGAGATCTTTAGTATTCAATAGAGGGATTGTGATAGAAAAGTTCGGTTTTAAGTTTGTAAGAACCATTACCCCGTCTTTAAAAAACAAACCAGTTAAGGGCCTGCGTAAAACTTTCAATGCGGATTTAAAAGATAGAAATGCTATAACTGTTAAAAGATAGAAATGTTGTAATTGTTTTATAGACCTCGAAGCAATGTTGACCGAAATCGACCAGTCAGGGCTGCCAGGTCTTTTAAAAATATGTATATATTAATATTCCACTATTTACATTGTTCGGATTATCGTACTCGTCTTTGTTGCCATATTGATCACAACAATTCGACCGTTGTACGCAATGGCTTTCTTCAGGTGGTTGGAATGTCGAACTGAACCCTTTATTTCGCTCGCTAGAATAGACTGTTCTAGTTTCACGTGCTATGTCTAATGGATGTCTGTTATCAGTTATCTCCTGTTAATTCCCTTCTCCTAGTTCTCCACTGCCTTAACTGGGTATTGAACTCACACTCTTTGGGTTCTGTCACTGAATCTAACTAACACCTTTATCCACTGTGCCATGTGTCATGCACACACCGGAAAATCAAACAGGGAACGGATTTTTTTCTAACAATTCTACCTATAAGCGGACTCTACCCCAGCCTCAATAACTAATGTGGGATAGTTTCCATAGGCCCGCTGTCTATTTCTCGCACCCGATGACGAAGAACACAGGCTCCGTGCTTCATTTTGGCCACCTGGTTAATATTAATAAATGTTTTTCGCACTGATTTCATCGGTACACTTTCGTTTTACTTATCTACTCTATTTTATAAACTATATGAAGCATACGTGAACTCATTTTTCTAATCATGTATTTTGGCCTTCACCTTGACAACGCTAAAAGGACAAAATGAAAATAAACTAAAGGAACTTGTCTCACTTTGACAACACTTAACTCAACCCTAGAAGACAACATAGATATGAGTTAAAGATATTTACTCACCACTGCAAACAACTAATTATTGTCCCTAAAGGACTGTAGTAGCTAGTATATATA